AAATTCAAGGTTAGTCATGGCTACACAGTAAGTTGGATGCCAGCCTGGAATACCTTAGATCCCCTCTTTTAAAAAAATAAATAGCTGAGTGAGGGGTGGTGGTGCACACCTCTAATCCCAGCACTTGGGAGGCAGGGGCAGGCGGATCTCAGTGAGTTCAAGGCCAGACAGGTCTACAAAGAGAGTTCCAGGAGAGCCAGGGCTACACAGAGAAGCCCTGTCTTGAAAAATCAAGAAACAAAACAACAAAATGTGTGTATGTGCGTGTGTGTGTGTGTGTGTGTGTGTGTGTGTGTGTGTGTGTGTGTGTGTGTGTGTGTACACTTGAAACTCATTATTTTGTACCATTAATATACACTAATAAAAATGAGTGCATGCTCTGAGCCAGCAGATCTGAAGTAGGGTTCTTCCTGGGTTTTTCCTAAGGTCTTAACTGACACTGAACTGTTGCTCCACAGCACACACCAGTAATGACAAGAGTGTGGATGCTGTTAAGTCGGCTCTAGGTCAGAAACCCCACTGGGAACACCAGGTATTGGGGTTTTAGAGACAAGGAATGGGCACATCCTCCTGAAAGGAACAAAAGGCCATCAGAAGCGGTCCTACCTAATGCTTGGCCGTCACAGGCTGCTACTAATGAGAACCACCCCCTCCGCTCCTCTACCCCCACCCCGTCCCCTACCTCCCCACTCCAAGAGTAGCTGCTAATGGATGACAATGTCCCCTCATTTGCAAATGCTTTCTAACAGCTTGAGTGTTGCCTTGTAGAACAAGGAGGATGGGGAGGGCATAAAGGATGGGGGTGGGGACCAGAAGCTGCCCAGGTTTTCTGCCCAGCCCCGAGAACCTGCAGTGTTGATTCAGGACAGACGGCTGTTCACAGGAGACAGTGACGAGCTGCAGTCTTAACAGCTTCCCCTCTCCCCTTGGGCCACATTTTTTCCAAGCCATTTGTCATTACGTTTCTGTTGTTGTGCATTTGTATCACCCATCCCCAGGAGAGCCCCGCCTCCCTCTCCTCTCAGGGGTCACAATGGGTTAACATGACCAATCACAGCAGCAGAGGAGTGTGGTTTTAATGTGAGAAGAATATTGACAGGTTTGTACAAGAGACATAATTAACTCAGGGCTCTGGTGATCCGGGACACAGCTCTCTCCCTTTCCAAACCCCTGGCTTTCCCACAAATCTTAAAAAAAAAAAAAAAAAAAAAAAAAAAAAAATCTGCTTCGTTCTTCAGTGATTTGGCTCTGAGCAAAATACTCTAATGGTATACAATTGAAATTTGATATCATTTTGTTGGTTTTGGTTCTAGAGCCTCTAGGATGCTAAGGCGGGCTCTACCACGGAGCTACAAGCGTGGCCCCTGGTCTCTTCTTGGAAAGAAGTAACGCAGGTGCTTTGGGGAATAGCTGTACTGACGCCTGCCCTCCTGCCACCCACCTTCTTCTGACGGTCTAGCTTTTTCAAGGGCTTCTGCTCTGGGCAAAGGCCAATTATCAAAAGGCAGGGAGCTCAGAAGTACAAAGGCACACTATGTCAGCCTCAGCCACAGAGGCAGGAGGGGCCTCGGATCGGAAGGAAGCACGGAAGAGGGCTGACAGCAGGCTCGCACTAGCCGTCCCTCCGAGATGCGCCGCGGCCTTTTCCCTGCAGCTGTGACAGAAGCTTGCTGCTGCGGGGCGGGGCCATCTCCCATCTCTGATCCTCTCTCTGGCGACTAAAATAGGGTGAGCACATTTGCATAACAGAAGAAGAGACAGATTGCCACTCTAGAAGGACCCGCTGGACACCTGTCAGGAGTATTAAAAAGCAGAGTAATCTCTCAAAGTGGGAAATGCTTCATACCCTGATGTTGAGATGGTTGCTGGAGAGGCCACATGAATGTGGGCCATGTCCTGACTACAAGCCCTCTAGGCTGCTGGCTCCCCTTACATAGGATAAAGAATGTGGGTTTCAGAAGGCCACGAACATTTTTTAAGAGCCTCCCTCCCTTACCTGTGGCCCCTTCCCAATCCCATACTCTCACCCAGCGACCTCCAGCGGGGGCTCCGGGAGATGTGTTCCTGGATGCCAGTCACATTTGGGCCACATAATAGGCATCATTATTTTCAGTAGACAGAGCTGAAATCACGCAGTTGGAGGATTCTAATTCCAGCCCAGCGTGAGTTAGACTTTGATGAGTGCCTGGGTATTACACTGCTTCTTGTAACGTGAATTCCAGATAAGCAAGCCAATCGAGGGACTGTGGCGCGATTTCACTTCAGAATGGGAAGAAAGCGCTCATCTCCCCGGACTCCATTATCTAAGGCAAGCAGAGGGGGCTGTGAAGCAACTGGACATGTGTGGGCGTGGCCGGTGGAAATGCACCTTCACATTCTTGTTGTTCGGTTGGCACTAAATCACAGCACTAGTGGCTGAGCCAGAGGACAATAGGTTTGGGATACAGCTTCATGGCGTAGAACGGGGAAAGTTTTGCTCTGCATTAGAGACGTTTGGGGCCACAAAGACCAAGAATTGAAAGACAACTGACAGGACTCAGAAGAGGGGCGATCACGTGATACCATAGACGGGGACAGGAGTTTCCAAGAGAGGCTCTATGTGAATATGAAGGCCCTGTGGCCTCCAGCAGCTCCAGGCAGCCAGTGGAGGAGGAAGAGCCTGGAGAGTCCCAGTTTGTGAGGTGGGAGCAAGCCCAGAGCTGCCTGCTGGTGACTCAGAATGGAATTTTCCTCCCAGACAGGGAAAACAGGTGCTGGGGTTTCTGGTATTATGATCATTCATATTGATCTTCTATTGTTCTCTGTTTCTGTCTCTCTGTTTCTCTGTCTCTCTCTTACACACACACACACACACACACACACACACACACACATTCAGCTAGAAATAAAATAAATCTTTTACAAAGATCGGTATGGGAAAGAAGTAAAAACTACACAGCTCTGGAACTCACTCACCCTCAGCAAAAACGTGGAGCCTAGTCACTGGGTCATGTGAAGCTGAAGGTCATTGGACCCAAGGAAACTGAGGAAGCTAGTTGTGATGGAGGGGGACCAGACTTCGGCTGCCAGGCACAGGTACCCCTCTAGGGTGTCTTCAAGCCAGCTCCAGCCATTGGCTGTTAAGGCTCATATGGACCAAGCTCCGAGTTTCTGCACATGAGCAAAAGGGCTCATTTATTTCAGATGAAACACCAAGTGAGAGCCTAATAAACTGCTTTGTTACTATCTGACCCTTTGTCTCTATTAAGTAGGAGTTTCAAGTCAACTTCCTTATTCTTGAAAGAATGAGCCCAGCGGAAGATCCCAATTCAAGGGTGGTCAATGGTCTTGATCTAGCCTAGACCTGTACAGTTGGGATCAATTAGTTAATAGCATGCACTGAACGTTTTCTTCCCTTGAAGCAATGACTCTTTACTGGTTTTCTTTAGGGTTTGTTTTTATAACCACAAGCCCTCTTGGGAGGTTGATGTTGACTGTGAATATTCACTCCCAAATAGATAGATATGCACAGGCCTCTACCTCCGGTAAAAGCCCAGGGACCTCATATTAAGAATTCCTGCCCCGATGCTTCACCCATGTACAGCTCTCCTATCTGTCTTTGAAATCAAATCTTTCTGCTGCTCTAAAAATAGAAACCATATCCAGAAAGAAATTACAGGGCTGTATGCCAGAAGCCGACAGAATCGGGGAACAGTTCATCTTCCCACCTGCAGGCAACAGAAAATGTCACCTCAGGCAGGAGGGAGGCCAGAATCTTGCAGGGTAAAGCTCTGCCTAATAGTTCATCTAAATCACTCTTGCTTTGAGATGAACCTGCTTCCAAGTCCAGTGGGCGGCAGGCACCACATCGTGTGTAATTCCAGCACAGTAGATGATGAGGCAGGAGCATTGTGAGATCAAGGCTAGCGTATGCTAATAGCAAGTTTGAGGCCAGCCTGGGCTATATAGTGAGACTCTGTCTCAAATTAACAAAACAAGATGAGCCTGTTTTCTTTAGTCACTTCTCTTGGGAAAACAATGAGCCAAGTGCTCATCCTAAAAAGGATGCTTGGAATGAATGAACACACACACACACACACACACACACACACACACACAGAGAAGTGGGTGTGGGGGGGATTTTCTTTAGGCAAAATAAACAGTCTCTGGTCTCTGCTCAGCAAACCTGGACCCCTGACCTTCACTAGCCCAGAGACACATCCCATGAGACTCCAGGGAGCAAAGGCTGAAGGGAAAGGAGAGGCTGAGTCTCTCACAGACCGCTGGGAGACAGAGCAGCAAGCGATTTTCTTTTCTTGAAGTATGGCCCACGATGACCCCAAAAGACACAATGCATGGGGCCAGTGAGATGGCTCAGTGATTAAAAAAAAAAGTGGTTGTCACCAAGCCTGATGACCCGAGTTCAATCCCTGGGACTCACACGGAGGAAGTAGAGAACCAACACCCTCAAGTTGTCCTCGGATGTCCACGTGCAAGCAAGCCATGGCACAAGTGTGCCCCCCCCCACACACACACACACTAAATCAATTTAGAACATTTTAACTGGGGAGCTTTCACAACCTTCCCTAGAAGTGACTGCCAGGTACATGATGCTGTCCCACGACCTTGCTGTCATTAAAGCTTACTCTTAGCTTAGGGATGGTTGACCAGATGGTAAAACTCAACTAGACCTTTGTCTAATAAGTCGAGAGAAAAATACCTTACGTCATTTAGATTTTCAGCTAACCATTGACTTCCCATAGTCTGTAAGCTAAGCAAGTACTTTACAAGACGAATCCACACAGCTCCTTTTCTGAAGCATGGTTAAGTCGGGGAATGGTCAAACTCCCTAGATCAGAAGTAAATCTTTCCCAGAATTTTTGAAATCAGATAAATGCATGACCTCTTGTGTCTTCCCGAAAGCAAATCTATGCAGTGAGTAACAAAACACTGGTGAGATTAAAACGGTTCATATACCCGTGTCTGATCGGGGAGCGGTTAGGAAGAACTGACTCCATGAAGAGTTTTTGTCGAGACTGTAGTTTATTTAACAAGGACTTTGGTAAATTGTGAAACTTCCTAAAGGAACCGGAACCGCACAATCAATGAAACCTGGGCAAAATGCAATAAGTTTCCTGAAGAACAACGAAGAATTGATGTGTTGATTGTTCATGCCTGAGCTTGGGCCGCCTGAGCTCCACCAGGTTTGTGGAAGCATTTATACCTTTGCTAGTCCCAGCTCCTCTTGGCATGCTTCCTGAGCTCACGCCACCCTCTCCTAAGCATCTCAAGTAGAGGCTGCTTGAGATTCGGCTATTCCCACAATTAACCCCACACTACCCATGGGAAATTGAGCAGCCCCACCACTCCCTGCCTTAGCTCGGGGTTCTTCAACAGAACACCATGTACTGAAACAGCAGTCACTCCTTTCTCATGGTTCTGGAATCTTGGGGACTCAGGCTCAGCATGTCACTGGCCGGTGTTTGGTGAGGGCCTACATCCTGGTTTGCAGGTGGCCATATTCTCATTGTGTCCCCACCTGACAGAGAGCAGAGAGAGAGGGTAAGCTCTCCAATGGCTCTTCTTCACAGAGGCACTAACCCTACTCAGAGAGTTCTACTCTCACCAGACAGTTACCTCCCAAGGTCCCCATCTTCAAATGTCATCACCTTGGTTCCCACATGGGCTTTGGGGAAGGCACTCCCCCTTTATAGCAGACTGTTGTGGTCTGCATGTAAAATGTCTAGCACAGACTCATGTGTTTGAACACTTGGTCCTCAGCCGGTGGTGATGTTTTGGAAGGTTGTGGAACCTTTAGCCGATGGAGCTTTACTTGAAGAACTGGGACCTTGGTGGGTAGGCCTTGAGGTTTGAGGGCTTGGCCCCATCTCCAGATCATTTTCTGCTCATGATTGCAATGTGTCGTCCACCTGACCTCCTGCTCCCACTGCATGCCTTCCCGGCCATGATGGAATGTATCCCGCCGAACTGTAAGCCATAGCAAACCTTTCTTTCCTTAAATAGCTTCTCGGCAGGAATTTTGACATAGCAACAAGACTAATCGTACACAGATCCAATTTTACTAAAAAGGCAGCTCCAATTATGACATGGTCTATACTGCAGTCTGTTTCTGAACTCTAAGCTTTTGAGGCATACTCACAAAAGGCCAGTTTTTTAAAGGAGGCTGAATAGCTCGGTCAAACAAAACTTTGAAATATTTGACCCATCTACTCTTGTTACATGACTCTAAGCTCTTATGGTCAGAAGGCCCGTGAAAGGAAAGAACTCACTTCTGAGAGCTGTCCCCTGACCTCCACACATGTGTTGTGGCATGCGTGCCCCCAGGTACACATCATGCACACATACACAATAAAAAAAATAAATGAATAAAAATTTAAAAAATGTAAGTGGACAAATATTTTGGTAAATAGAACCCTTTTTTTTTTTTAAAGAAAATTGTTTGTTCTTATACTGTCCAGACCAATTACTCTAGAAAGACCCCATTCTAAACAATGGTGTGATGAGGGAAAAATGAGAGAAGATGTGGGAAATATAATTTGACAAATTATAAGGATTTCTTAGAAGGGAACATCGTCATTCCCACCATCACAAGGAAAAAGACTTTCTGTCCTTTAAGCTACTCCACACATGGGGCCCTGAGACTCAACTACAAAATGGTTGTGCACCCAGGCAGCTTCACATTTGGGACTGAATTGTGTCTGTCAACTCAGATTGAGACAAAGCACCCCAAGCATGTCTGTGACATACAGAAGTAGATTTTAACCAACATATACCACAGAGGACCCCTAAAGAGGGATTCAGGTCCAAAGATGGGTCCAGACATTGGGAGCATCACTGAGAAAAACTCGTTAAGAGACAGAGTTGGACTCTTCTTTGCACAATCATGATGCTCTGTTTCAGTAACAGATATTCAGACTCCAGACTAGAGGATTCTACAGTCTGTAGGTTGTGACTGAGAGAGATTAAATTCTTCTGGTAAGCCATTGTTTGATCACAGATGAGGAGCCGGGTGTGGATCTCTCTGGGCACAAAGGGTGGATGGCAAGGTGAGACTATATAGAAAAATTAGACTTCACTCTTTCCCTGTATCAGCTCTGGAAAGGAGCAACTCACTCTGTTAATGTCCAACCTCATCCCTTGAAGGAGCTAATTAAGGACCTAAGAGACTTGTGGACACCTCGTCCTTTTAAAGAGGAGGAACTGGGCTCTGGCAAGTTACTGGAAAAAAAAAATGTCTTCTGGAACATGTCCACTGACTCTACAGGCAGTGGAAATCTACAGGGAGTGGGAATGATCCAGAGAAAATATCCCGGATAGGCTCGAGCTTAGAGCTTACACACAGGCTTTTCCTCAACTTCCAGAGTTGTGTCTGTGCGTCCAGCCCTTCCTTTCTCACAGCCGAGGAGCCTTGCAGTTTTATCCCTGAGACGGTAGACAAAACTGATTGCTCGGTTTAGAGGACTTTAAGGAATTCTTCCATGGAAAATTACTTGTGATTGCGCTTAGTTTGAGGAATTACAAAGCTTTGGTGCGTTTCGTGTGTACAGTTGTTGAAGTATGCGCTAAAAATCACCCTTTGCTTTAGCTGTTGTGTCCAATCTCCTGAAGTGTCAAAGTCGTGTTGTTTGCCAGCCAGAGGTTACCTGCTAGGTCTTCATTAGAAAATACAGAAACTAGCCAGGCGGTGGTGGCGCATGCCTTTAATCCCAGCACTCGGAAAGTAGAGCCAGGCGGATCTCTGTGAGTTCGAGGCCAGCCTGGACTACCAAGTGAGTTCCAGGAAAGGCGCAAAGCTACACGGAGAAACCCTGTCTCGAAAAACCAAAAAAAAAAAAAAAAAAAAAAAAAAAAAAAAAAAAAAAAAAAAAAAAAAAAAAAAGAAAAAGAAAATACAGAAACTAACCAGGCGGTGGTGGCGCACGCCTTTAATCCCAGCACTCGGAAAGCAGAGCCAGGCGGATCTCTGTGAGTTCGAGGCCAGCATGGGCGCAAAGCTACACAGAAAAACCCTGTCTCGAAAAGCCAAAAAAAAAAAAAAAAGAAAGAAAGAAAGAAAGAAAGAAAGAAAGAACGAAAGAAAAAAAGAAAAGAAAAGAAAATACAGAAATTTGACCTTTCACTGGAGGAAACACAGGACAGGAATGTGCACTGTCATGTGTGGTCTAAATAAACGAGAAAGTATCTACACTTTTTACAGAAATGCTCCTAAGGGAATTTCAGGTTTAAATGGATAACATTTTCCTTTTCTACAGCAGCATTGAAAGCCAGGCCCTGTGGCATACACCTGCAGACCCCTCACATGAGAGGCTGAGGTGGGCGGGCCAGCGGAGCATAGCAGCCAGCCTGAGCAGCATACAGACATTTATAAAATTAAATAAAACAAAATCTTGTAGAGCAGAGGGAAGCAGCTCCATGGTAGAGTGTTTCCCTCATATGTGCAAAGCCCTGGGTTTGACCTTCACTATCATCATCACCAGTAATAATAATAAATTAATTAATTAATAAAACAAAACCTAGGATTGAATCTCCTGCCCCCAACCATCATTTCTGAGTAAGTCCAAGCTGCCTACTTATCTACAAAACAGAGAAGATCTGGCTGTTTTTATTTAATGGCTATCCCTATCTGTATTCTGATATTTATACCCAAAAACCACCAAGAATGAGGTCATTACTTTGCGTCTCCACATCCTGGAAACAGGTCTTTGCACTCTGTTGACTGATGGCAATGCTCTGATAAGCAGGAGACCTCTGAAGTCTGACACTCCGCTCAGGGACATAGTAGATTTTGTTAGGTGTTATGACGAGTGAACAGGCAGATTGGTTCTGTCGCAAAAGAATGAGAAAGGAAATCATTGCACAAAAATACTGAGAAAGAAATCTGGTCAAATAGTGGGACTCGGTGGGAGATTCAAGATCTTTATAAGAAAGTGTCAGACAGACTTGATAAAGGTGTCAGAAGTGATGGGTGCAGTTTCTGATGAAGACTTGGAATTAAAATCGCTGTCTGCAAGTTTTCACAGCAGCATCATTCACAATAACTAAAATGTGGAACAGCCTACATGTCCATCAGCTGACGAATGGATAAGTAAATGTGGACTGCCAAACACTGGAATAAACATGGTGTGACCGTAACAAGGAATGTAGTAGTGGCACCTCTCCAGCACATGTGTAGAAGACATCACAGCTAGAGAATTACGTTATATGATTCCATGATAGGAAATGTCTGGAGTGCGTATGGCTACACAGCAAGTGGACTAAAGATTGCTGCAGGTGAGAATGTGGTGAAACTGTAAACGAATATGGCATTTCTTGTAAGGATGATGGAACTGAGGTATAATCATGTCATGATAGCTGTGTAACTATAAAACCCGACTAAGAATCATCAAATTGTATAGTTGAGGTATTTTTGCCCAACATAATATTTTTACTAATTATTTAGGAATTTCATACAATGCATTCTGATCACTATCACTTCCCATTTCTCCCAGGTACAATCTCCCACTCTTGCAACCTCCCCAAAAATAGAAAGAAAAAAAAATACACCAGGTCCAATCTGGGTTGCCTGTATACTCATTGAAGCATAGTCAAATTTCTAGTGGTCATCCCCTTAAAGATTACTGAGTCCTTCTTCACCCCCGTCACCCCTCACCAGATGCCATCAACAATGAAGAGCTACACTTCAGCATCTTTATCATAGTTTTTAAGAATTCTCTTCAATAGCGTCCTGTCTGGACTGTTTCTTTTTGTGGGTGGGAGGGAGAGGTTTTCACAGAAGACTTCAATGTCTCTCATTCTCAATTATGGGTCTGCAGTTATCTATAACACCTCAAAAGAAGCTTTCTCACCCACAGCAGTCAGTGGTAGCATGGATCATGGACTTCCACATGGTTTCCATTGGCAGCGTGGACCATGGACATGGACATCAACATAGACTCCTTCAGAAGCACAGACCACAGACATCAACAAGGTCTCCTGCGAGCCCTGATCATGGACGTCAGCATGGCCTCTGGCACCAGCACAGACCATGGAGATCTTTGGAGGAGGCTTAATACAGAACATGAACCATTTTTCATCTCAGATATCCTGTTGTTGCTCAGAGTCAGGGGATCATTCTGTCCGGCAGTGTATTCAGGGATAGAACCAGCTTGAGCTCCAGGCTGCTGTACACCACTGGCTCCCTGAGCATGACCATTGTTCTTGCAGCCCAAGGGCAGTGCCGAACAGTGGGCCAATTGGCAGCATGGGTCAAGGGGTAACAACAGGGTGACGTGGGCCTGATGGTGGCTGCTGTGGAATGTACGCTGTGAATGTATGCGTTGCTCCCACTGGCTGATAAATAAAGCAGTGTTGGCCTCTGGCAAGGCAGCTTGGAGGCAGGTAGGAAATCCAAGCAGAGATAGAGAGAGAAGAAGGGCAGAGTGGGGGAGGCACCAGCCCCGCCATCCTAGGAACAATATGTAATGGGACACAGGTAAAGCCACGGAACAGGTGGTGATACATAGATTAATAGAAATGGGTTGAGCTAAGTTATAAGAACTAGCTAGCAAGAAGCTTGAGCCATAGGCCATACCGTTTGTAATCAATATTAAGCCTCTGGGTGATTATTTTATAAGTGGCTGTGGCCCACGGGTGGGAGGGACCAGAGAAACTTCTGGCTACAGGTGGCCCCAGCCTCCTGGCAGACTGAAAACATAGTCCTATGCCTCAACCACATGCTCCTTTGTCTGCAGCAGCCACGATCCCATACCTGTGGCTGCAGCTCTAGTTCTGCTTCTCTCTGACAGGCATGCTGCTCCGTTCCACCATCTTTATTTCCAGTCCCATGAAACCCCCAAGCATTATTTTTAAATAGGAAATCTGAGGTGTCAGATTCACTCAGCATCAACAAAAAATAAAACAAAATGGCAAATCTAAGAGTCTTAACCTATCCTGCAGGCCCCTTCTTGAAGCTCTTACGTGCCTTCCAGACTGGTTCCCATCGGTGTCCCCACATATAAGTGTAACATGAATCTTAACAGGTCTTATTAATAAGAACAAACCTGGAGTCGGGTATTGGGGTGAACGCTGGAAGTTCAGAGAAGCAGAATAAGCCACAGCTACCTCACATTGCCAATTCTTCAGCTGATCCTGTTTCCTCAACTGGAAGCCTCTGAGTCCTCATCTGGAATGAATCTCAGCTGAACTGCTTCTCAAAAGCTTGAAAGCTTAACCAGCCAAAAGCTTCTAGTTTCTGATCTTCACACCTTATATACCTTTCTGCTTTCCGCCATCACTGCCTGGGATAAAAGACGTGTGTCACCATGCCTGACTGTTTCCAATGTGGCCTTGAACTCACAGAGATCCAGACAGATTTCTGCCTCTGGAATGCTAGGATTAAAGGCATGAGTACCACCATTTTCTAGCCTCTGTATCTAGTGGCTGTTCTGTTCTCTGACCCCAGGTAAATTTATTAGGGTACACAATATTTTGGGGAACACAATACCAACACATATAAGCTCCAGGCTTACCCTCCGACCCTGCTCCTGGTAATGTATCAAATTTTCATTTTATTCCATGAGGAGCTGTGTGTGTGTGTGTGTGTGTGTGTGTGTGTGTGTGTGTGTGTGTGTGTTATGTATATGTGGTGAATGGGCTTGAGTATGCAGGTACCTGTACCCGTGCACGTACATATGGAGCCCAAACTAGGACATTGAATATCTTTCTTTGTTGCTGTCTACTTTATCGTCTTAAGACAGGCTTTCTCACTGAACTGAAATATCACCATTGTGGTGAGGTTGGCTTGCTAATGAGTTCTTGAGATCCACCCGTATCTGCCCCACAGTGTCCGGGTTACAAACACAGACAACCATTCTGGCTTTTCATGGGCACTAAGGATTCAGTGCAGAGCCCTCATGCTGAGCAAGGGTTCTTACCATCTGAGCCATTTTCCCATGCCCAAATTCTGTGTTTGAAACAGGTGATTGTGTAGTATGAAAATTACACCTTAATAAAACTTTTAATAAAAAGAGATTACTAAGTGGCTGTATTGTCATTATGTATTTTCAAGGACTATCACCTCTATATACGCAGTTTTGTGTATGTTTTGCTTTATTTTTATTTCCGGGCAGCCACAGTTGCATTAGATATTACTAACTGGAGGAACAGCTAGAGACTTGCAGTCTCCTGAGGGCACAAAGGCCAGAGAAGAGGCGTCGCCTCTCCCATCACCCACTATCCCTGTAGGAGTACTGTCTCTCCTCTAATTGTGAGCACTCCATCACTCCTCCAAGTTCAGAGGGGGTTGGAACCATGGTGGATGTTGGGGCTCCCGAGTTTCCAGAGTGAAGACTGCCGAGCAGTGGCGCGGAGGACAGAGTGACTTCTGGTGAGGGAGCGCTGGGAAATACCAGGACCCGTACAGTCCTGAGATCAACAGCAAAGAGCCATAATAACTCAAGCTAGCAGAAAAGTTTCACATCCCCTCAGCTGACATTTTCTTCAAGGCAGATGGTTTTGAATTGCCACGAATAGCCTCACATTTGCATAGTGGCTTCTCCCAGTTTTTTTTTTTATTTCCTGGTTTGTTTTATTTCTATTACCTCCAGCTAATTGCTTTGGAATAACACTGTTATTTCCAGCAAACCCCTCCTGTTAGGAAATGGTGCAAACATAAATAACATTTACCCAGGCCAGGAGTCACAAGTGGACCAAAGATGGCAGAACCCAGGTAAGATGAGCAAGGTCGCCATGTTTCCCCCCCCCATGGCAGAGGAAATGAGGGAAGTCCAAGCTGCTGCTGAGGGATGGAGTGGGGCTGGAGATAGAAAGTCATGAAGGACATGATACTATCTTGGGAAGGCCAGTGATTTTTAATACCATCAGCAGAAAGATTTCCCAATTTCAGAGACAGAGTCACCTTTGACACAAACCAACCAGTATCGGACTTGCTGCTTCTATACCATTTTTGACAGTGCGGGACCAGCTAAAGGTTTATAAGCTGCCTTAGGGCAGAGATGATTTGAGATGTAAGACAGTATGTTAACAGTGGGCATGCCCATGGCTTTCCACTTGGGGTAATCCACACCTATTGTTTTGGCCGAACCTGTGAATGGTGGCCTAGTAACCAGGTATGAAACAACCCTGCTTCCAGATAAAGAAAAGTTGATGGGGTTGGTTAGAAATTCTAAGCCTGTCTGACTTAGTTACTGTTCTATAAATAGTGATGAAACGCCATGACCAAGGCAACTTATAGAAGAAATCATTTAATTGGGAGCTTGCTTACAGTTCCAGGGGGGTTAGTCTATGATCATCATGGCAAGAACACGGCAGTAGGCGGGTGAGCATGGCGCTGGGAGAGCTTACATCTGATCAACAAGTTGTAGGCAGGAGGAGAGAGAGAGAGAGAGAGAGAGAGAGAGAGAGAGAGAGAGAGAGAGAGAGAGAGAGAGACTGGCCTTGGTGTAGGCTTTTGACATCTTAAATCCACCCCCAGTAGCACACACCTCCTCCAACAAGGCCACATTTTCTAATCCTTCCCAAATAGTTCCACTAACTAGAAACCAAGCATTCAAATGTATGAGCCTATGAGAGTCCATTCTTATTCAAATACCATACTGTCTTTTTTATTTTATTTTATTCTTGCCAACCATGAGAACTTGCAGTGTAGCCCAGGTTGACCTGAAATTCATTATCCTCCTGCCTCAGCCTCCGGAGTACTAGGATTACAAGTGTACACTACTATACCCATCTTCTGGGCCTGTCTTTAGAAAGATGTTATTTTTCATCAGCTACCCCAAAGTGGCCTAGA